GGGATTAATTCTACCACAGCCCTGCGGATTTGTGCAATCACCCAAACACGAATCACCAGTGCAGTCCTCATAGTCCACGTAGTCGAACTCGTCCTCTTCCTCCCACATCGCCTCGAGAACTGCTCGCTCATCTTCGTCGATCGCATCAACCATCTGCCATCCATTAGTTCTCTCCAACACCGACAAGGCTGCGGATCGTCGTACCACAGCCTTCCTGGCCCCAACCGGGCACTGTCCATTCCCGTGCACCCGACACTCCATCTCCTGACGGCGATGATCTCCGTATGAGTCGTCCGACGCCTGCTCCAGTGCAGTCTGCACCATGATCCAGTAATGCTGCCTCTGCATGACAGATCTGCCCCAACTCACCGCCGACTGCATCTCATTACCTCGTTTCGAGCACGCCCCTTTCGCGATATCGTACGAGTACCACGTCTGAAGAGCCGCGCAAGTGCCACGGACGGCCTCCGGTCCAACCGTCGCCGCTGTCACCAAGCACCACAGCTTCACCATTGCCATGCCCACTTCGTCGCCAGTAGACAATGCGACACCTTGTCTCAACCAGCTCTCCACACCGAACACCCACGGCCATTCGGCCTCACGGTTGATGCACGCGTGTAGGTGCGTCGTATATACATCCAAAACGCCGATCTTGATTCTCTTCAACATAGCTTGGTCGTGATACTCCTCCACACTCCTCCGTATGTCGAGCACAGTGTCCTCTCTGTCCGACTGGAGGTGTTGGAGCATGCTGATCCACCGGTTGCGCAAAAACGCGCTGTCCGCCGCTGACACTGCGTAACTGGTCGTCAGTCTCGCAACATCAACACCCACAGTCCGAATAGTGCTTGGGTTGACTATCGGGAGCTCGTCGGCGTCAACCACAAAGGAGCTCTTCGACTCAGCGCTGCCCTGGCGCACCTCTCGCAGTGGCAGACGCGCCTTCTTCGGGTAACCCATGCCTGCTCCAACGTCAGTCCCGTTCCACCAAATTGCACCTACACTCACCGATAGCTTTCAATACGTTTGACACTCAGGTTAGCGTGTTGCAGTAGGTGCAGAATAAGTACAACAAAAACACAGCTGAGTCCCAGGACTGTTCGATGGGCGCACCTGTCGATTATATACCACACGCAGCCCATCGAGGTGCCTCTAGTTCCCCAGGCTCCAGAGGCACCACGGAAAACACTTCCACCAACCAGCGTAGATTTACTATACAAACTCAGCCAAACAGATTTCGCAATTCTTGAAAACACTGCAAATGCGGTCCCTGAGGTACCGCTGTCCACAATGTTATAAAGCATAGCTTGGGACAGCGGTACCAGAGGCATCCTGCCTCATTGGGAAACCCACAGCCAATCAAACCCCAGCCAAACACTAGCGTCATGCAACTAGAGTGGTGCTTCTGGCTCCGGCATGTGGTGCCTCTAGCTCCGAACCCGGGTGCCCCTAGCTCCGACGTGTGGTGCCCGAGGCTCCCATCACCGGTGCCGGGGGTTCCTCCGTGCGGCACAGCACATCCAACAACCAACGTACCCGTCACACCACGCGATGCGAGCCGAAGTGCTACCTTCCGTCGCACTCCCACTAGCTTCGCGACCCGTAGGCCACTCATAGCTTACATCTTCGACGATTTCTCCCGACACTGTGGATGGTGGCGCCAAGGTCTACTAACCCTACCACACGACTTACCTCAACCCTAACAGCTGAACGATACTTCCCGACGCAACCACGAGAGGGCCGTCGAGCGGCCCGGATATAATGGATAATGGATGTGCACTTATCAATAGAACGCCAGACTGTAGACTGGATATTATACAATGCATACGTTCAGCCCCGTGCTGCGCGCGCACTATCACATATCTATTCGCGGATACGAGGGGGATTAATTCTACCACAGCCCTGCGGATTTGTGCAATCACCCAAACACGAATCACCAGTGCAGTCCTCATAGTCCACGTAGTCGAACTCGTCCT